AGAAACAGCTGGACGCTCCAAAGTCTAGGGTGAAGGAGAGTTGTGCAGTCTGTGGTAGCTGCAGCTCCTACACAAAGATGCTCAAAGACGCATAGACTGGAAACAACACACGCACCAAGACTGGAAACACATGTCTCTACCCGTGCAGCCGGGAAAGGTCATAGACCAGGTAGGTGAGACTCAACTGGTGCAGCAGTGCGCTGGCGAAAACGCGAGGGCCAGTGCAGTGTAATCGCATGAGGACAAAAACGCTCACAGTGGAGGTCGTCGAGTCAACGGTAGCAGCTGGACGCAGTGTGGTCAGGACTCCAGTAGGTAGTGCCACCACCAGGGCCTGTCAGGGCCCGGCACCCGCAGGGGCCGATGTTTCGCCCACTGCTAGCTGAGCCACTGCTGGGGGCGCCACACTTTGGACCCGCAGGCCCCCACTGCCGGGAGTGCTGCGGCTGGCCCTACTGCTGTAGAACCCTATGACATGCCATGTGAGCCTATGCAGCTGCTGGTTCTGCTAGGGGCCGCCTAAGCTGCTGCTGGTGCGCTCGCGGCAGCCTAAATTGCTACTGGTGCGCTGGGGGCAGCCTATGCTGCTGCTGGTTCTGCTAGGGGCAGCCTAAGCTGCTGCTGATGCATTGGCGGCAGCCTAAGCTGCCGCTGGTTCTGCTGGGGCCAGCCAAAGCTGCTGCTGGTTCTGCTGGGGGTAGCCTAAGCTGCTGTTGGTTTTGGTTGGGGTAGTTTAAGTTGCTGCTGGTGCGCTGACAGCAGTGGAAGCTGCTGTTGGTGCTAGTGGCGACAGTCTCAGCTGCTGCTGGTGCTCCTGGCGGTAGTTTAGGCTGGTGCCAGTGCTCTGGCGGCAGTTGAAGCTGCTGCTGGTGCTAGTGGCGGCAGTGTAATCTGCTGGTGCTACTGGTGGCGGGTGTGGCAGCTCGTGGGGAAGCGGGTATCAGGTGGGGTGGCTGTTAAGGCAACGGGCGACGGGTGGGGAAGGTGAGGCGGCTGTTTTGTGTGGTTGTGTGCGATTTTGTGCGGTTCTATGCAATTCTGCACGGTTCTGTGCGGTTCTGTGCGGTGGCGAGTACTAGGTGGGGCGGCTGATTTCGGGTGAGGTGGCTGGAACGGGTGGGGCAACAGGTTTCCAGGTGGGGCGGCAGTTTTTAGGTTTGGGGCGGCGGGTTTCAGGTCTGGGGCAGCGGGTTTCCTTGTTGGGCGGCGGTTTCATGTCTAGGACGGCGGGTTCAGGTCTTGGGGCATCATTTGCAGGGGTGGTTTGGCAAGTTTCCAGGTGGGGCGGCGGTTTTGAGGTCTGGGGCGGTGGTTTTCAGGGGTGGGGTGGTTAATACGGCAAGCTGCACGTGCACGCGGATATTGCTGCACGTGCGTGCAGCCGGGACGTACGTGCGTGAAGCTGCATGTGCGGCTAAGTCTACGCGCATAACTACGCTCATACGTCTGCTGCGCGCTATTGGGCTGGGGGGGGCAATGCGGGGGGTAAAACGTGTGAGGCGCGGGGCAGAAAACCGAGTGGCGCATGGGGCAAAAACGGGTGGGGCGCAGGGCAGAAACGGGTGACGTGCGGGGGCAACGGGGGGTGCGATCTACAGGCTCTACGGGGCAGGGCGCTTCGGGCTACGGGGCGCTACGAGGTGTGTGGGTGGTGGGCCCATGACTATCGAGAGGAAAATTGCCTAGGGGAAAAAATCGCTTAGGGGAACCTAGCTCTCTCAGAATATGTTATTTGTCTAGCCTGCAGTGGGGTACTCAATAGTGAGTACAGCCCTTTAGGGTTTCCTATTTGTACCAACCTGCTTGCTAGTGCAATCATTCCTTCTCATTTATTTCTCTTCCGTTTACATCCTTGCTAGCCCTAGGGCACAACCTTCTAGTCTCACTGTGGCCTAGGCTACTAAGCCTAGGCCCTACTCCTAGTGTTTCTGATATGGTATCTAGAGCGAGCATGTTCCTGCCGCCTAGCTTAACCGACCCACCAACTGCTTCCGCTGCCGTACTCTCCGTCGCGCGCCCCGTGGTGCGCGGCGCTGCATTTTCTTCCCGCCACGCGCTCGTGGCGGCTTTTTCTGCCCGCCGCGCGCTCGGGGCGCGTGGCGGTTTCACCGTCCGTCGAGGCGCCCTCAGGGGGGCCTGCGCGCTGCCCTCCCCGTCGCCCGCCACGGCCTCCCCGCGGGACCTGCGCGCTGCCCTCCCGTCGCCCGTCGTTGCGCCCCCGGGTGGCCTGCGCGCTGCCCTCCCCGTCGACCGTTGCGGCACCCTCAGGGGGCACGCGCGCGGCCCTCCGTCGCCTGTCGAGGCGTCTTCGGGGGGCCTTCGCGCTGCCCCCTCCGTCGCCCGTCGCGGCGCCCGTGGGGCCTTCGAGCTGCCCCCCCCCCCCCCCCCCGTCGCTCATCGCGGCGCCTTCAGGGGGCCCGCCCGCTGCCCCCCCCGTCGCCCGTCGAGGCGCCCTCGGAGGGCTCGCGCGCGGCCCCCTTTCCCCCCGTCGCCGACCCTGCAGCAGCGCGCGACCCGCCCCTGCAGCAGCTCGCGACGCCGCCTCTGCAGCAGCTCGCGACGCCGCCCCTGCAGCAGCGCGCGACCCGCCCCTGCAGCAGCGCGCGAGCTGCCCCTGGACCAGCGACGCCACCCCTGGAGCAGCCGCCACTGGCCCCTGGAGCAGCTGCCCCTGGTGCAGCCGCCCCTGGACCCGCGACGCCGCCCCTGGTGCAGCCGCCCCTGGACCCCGCGACGCCGCCCCTGCAGAATCCGCCTCCGCCCTGTCCGCGCCTGCCCTTGTGCAGCCGCCCTGTCTCGCCCGCGCCCTTGTGCGCTCTGCTCTGCCCGCGCCCTCGTGCGCTCTGTCTCACCCGCGCCCTCGTGCGCTCTAATCTGCCCGCTCTGCTACTGCCCGCGCTCTTGTGTGCTCTGCTCTACCCGCGCCCTCGCGCGCTCTGTCCTGCTCTACCCCCCCCCCCCCCCCCCCGGGTCCCCTGGACAGGAGGGTGTGGGGGTGGCGGGTGTGGGGGTGATACGTGTGCGTCGTTCCTTCCTTCTCCTCCTCCATCTCCCACTGCTGCAGCTGCCGCTGAGGGGGGTGGGTGTGTGGGAGCCGAGGGAGTGGCGCTAGGGGGGTGTCGTGGGAGTGGAGCTAGGGGTTCAGCAGGGGGTGTGTGAAAGGGGGGTGGGACAGTTGGGGGAGGTTGAGCGGAGGCTGCCGTCTTGTCGTCCGTAGCACCTGTAGTCCAGGGCTCTGCCGCTGGTAGCCCAGAGAGCATGCTGAGCCTGCCGCCCGTGGGTCCGTTGCTCCTGCCGCTCCTCATAGCCGCCGAGCTAGTTACTCCAGTAGTCTGGGGCGCTGTCCCGGTAGCCACTGTGCCAGCCGCTCCTGTCGCCCGTGTGTCTGCAGCTTCAGCCGTCGCCTCCCATCTCCTCTCCTCTCACAGTCCCTCCTCCTCCTCACTTGCCCTCTATGACTGCCTCTAGCTCTGGTTGTGTTTGTGACTTATTCTATTACTTCTTGCTGTGCTGATTATACCCCACTTTGACTATGGGGGTGTGTCAGAATATGTTATTTGTCTAGCCTGCAGTGGGGTACTCAATAGTGAGTACAGCCCTTTAGGGTTTCCTATATGTACCAACCTGCTTGCTAGTGCAATCATTCCTTCTCATTTCTTTCTCTTCCGTTTACATCATTGCTAGCCCTAGGGCACAACCTTCTAGTCTCATTGTGGCCTAGGCTACTAAGCCTAGGCCCTACTCCTAGTGTTTCTGATAAGCTCTATACCATGTTACGGTATGAAACTCAATGAATAAGTAAAAAATGTGAAGTACAACCTTAGATATAACAAACCCTAATCATAAAAGGAAGTAGAAATGTAACACCTACACTAACCTAAACAACACATCTAAAATATATGTTGACATACAGCGCAATTCTGGACTCTGCGCAAACGATGACCTTTTGGCATCAGCATCACGGCCATCCCTCAAGCGTAACGCTGAAAAATTGCATCGAAGTTGGCGGGTTTGCGCCTGGCGCGCTCCTACACCCAGATGGCACCGAAGTGAGAAGCATGAGACAGCCGCGCAACTGCATCGTCTGCCTCGAAGCAGCGCTGAGTCACCAGCCGTTCCTGTCTGAACTTTGCTGTAGGCTGTAATAGGGCACTCCTTATGGGGTACAGCCCAATTAGTTTTTGATACACAAACCCTGTACTGCCCTGTTTCTAGTCCATTCTTCGTTCCTAGATAATGACATGGTTTCAGAGCAGGTTCCCTAGTGGGAACGTTTTTTTAGGGCCCACCACGATAATCTTTTTTTTCCTACCCTGCCCGAAGCGCGCCTCGCGCCCTGCCCTTCTACTGGCCCGTAGCGGCCCTGCCCTAACGACCCCTCGCAATCCTGCCCTTTCGTGGCCCGACGCGGCCCTGACCTAGCCGCCTACCGCGGCCCTACCCTGTCGTCGCCCTACGCGGCCTGCCCTAGCTGCCCGTTGCGGCCTGGCCTCGCCGCCCGTTACGGCCCTACCTAGCCGCCGCTCGTCGCGGCCCTACCCTGTCGCCGCCTCATCGCGGCCCTGCCCCACCGCCGCCCCGCCACGGCCCTGCCCTGCAGCCACCTAGTCGCGGCCCCACCCTGCTGCCGCCTCGTCGCGGCCCTGCCTCACCGCCGCCTCGACGCGGCCCTGCCCTGCAGCCGCCCAGTCTCGGCCCTACCCTGCAGCCGCCCAGTCGTGGCCCTGCCCTGCTGCCGCCCCGTCGCGGCCCTGCTCTACCGCCGCCTCGTAGCGGCCCTGCCCACCTACCGCCCGGTACCGGCCCTGCCCTATCCGCCAGTCACGGCCCTGCCCTGCTTCCGCCCCTGGTAAGCACCCGCCGCTGCGCATGCCTGCCTAGCCGCGCTGCGCATGCCTGCCTAGCCGCGCCGCGCCGCCTAGCCGAGTCGCGCCGCACCGCCCAGCCGAGCCGCGCCGCCCTGCCGAGCCGCGCCGCCCTGCCTTGCTGCTACTGCCGCCATGGCTACTCCTACTGTGCTTACCTTCGATGCTGAGGGCCGTGCGGTCGATTTTGAGGTTTGGGTGGATGACTTGCAGCTCTATCTTCAGTGCGACTCCAAGGACGGAGTCTCACTGTTCGATCACACGTCCGGCGCTTCTGTTGCACCTGCTGTTGACGCTGATATTACGGTACGCTCTCTGTGGACTACTCGTGACGTTATTACCCGCCTTGCTGTTCGTAGTGACCTGCCATCCGCTGAGCGCGCGCACTTTGGCCAGTACAAGTCTCTGTACAATGCTGTTGTCGCACGCTACTCCTTCCCTGCCTCTGCTCCCCTCAGCCGCCTCATGCTACCGTACTTGTTCCCTGACCTAGCCGCGTTTGCTACAGTCGCTGACCTCATCACTCACCTCACCACCAGTGACACCCACTACCGCGTTGCGCTTCCCTCCGAGTTCTGCGCCAAGAACCCCCCCCCCCCCATGTACATCACCCTCTTCTACCTTGTCACCCGCCTCCCTGACTCTCTCCGCTCAGTCAGGGACCACTTTCTCTCCCTTTGCCCCACTGAGCTCACCATCGACCTGCTCAAGGAGCGCCTCCTTGCAGCTGAGGCTAGCATAGTCGCTGCAGGAGCTTCTCGTGGCGTCCCTCACACCCCTTTCTTTGAGGGGTGCTCCCCCGTCCCCCCTTTGCCCTCTATTGCTTCTACTGCTGCTGTCGACCTCGTTGGCACTGAGGCGATCGGGGCTGCGTCTGCTGCTAATGGTAGGCGCCGTAGCGACAAGGGCAAGGGGGGCAAGGGTGGTGGAGGGGACGGCGGGAGCAGCAGTGGTGGCGGTGGGGGAGGTGGAGGGGGTGGGAGTGGAGTTGGGGGTGGAGGCGGGAGTGGGGGCGTCGGTGGCGGCGGTGGAGGTGGAGGCGGCGGCAGCAGCGGCAGTGGGGGTGGCGGCGGGGGTGGTGCTGGTCGGGGTGGAGCCGTGCAATGTGGAGGCTTTGGCGGTGGCCAGCGCCAGCAGCAGCCGCGTTCCTGTAAGGCCTGGTTGCCCCAGCAGCTTCGTAAGTGATACGTTGGGCGTGGGAGGTCTGGGGGTGCGGGTCCCTGCGCTTACGTTCTCCGCACAGGCGACCGCCCTGGAGAGACATGCGGCCTGCCGCACGCTACGCAGCGCTGTTTCTGTTGCCGAACTCACGCCTGGCGCGCACAGTTTCCTGACGCTACTGAGCTCCCTCGCTGGGCTGATCTGCTTAGGTCGGGTGTTGCTATCTTTGATCTTGATTATGATGCTATCCTTCCTACCATGTCTGCTCCTCCAGGTACTGGTGAGCCTGCTGAGGCCTTGCACACTTTCACTCTTGACTCTGGTGCTTCCCGCTCTTTCTTTCGCGACTGCACCATACTCATGCCACTCAGTCGGCCGGTTGCTATCTCCCTGGCGGACCCCTCTAGGGGTCCAGTCCTTGCCCACTCCTCTACGATTTTGCTGTGTCCGGCAGTCCCGTCTGGCTCACTGTCGTGTCTCCACCTCCCATCGTTCTCTATGAGCTTGGTGAGTGGAACTGACCTCCAGGACGTGTGGGTTGATTAGTTCACTCCAGGTGGTCAGCGGGTGACCCACTGTACGTGTACTCGGACAGGCCGCCACCTCGCCACGTTTGCCCGTCAGCCTGGGTCGAGCCTGTACACCCTGACTACTGCGTCCCCTCTAGTTACTGCGTCTGGTCAGGTGCTTGCTGCCGCGTCCAGGTCCGGTTCGGAGTCTGCCCCCTGCTCGTGTCATCTCCTGTCACACCAGACTCTCCTCTGGCACCACCGCCTTGGTCACCCCTCCCTACCTTGTCTTAGAGGTATGGCCTCCTGTGTCCTTGTCACTGGTCTTACCCGGTCTCTCCCTCCCCTCCCCCCGGGGCCTGCCCCTACCTACATTCCTTGCGTGGAGCGACAGCAGCGCGCCACCCCTCACTCCTCCGAGTTCCCTCCGATAGAGGCACCGCTGCAGAATCTCCATCTGGACGTGTGGGGCCCAGCCCACGTCCGTGGACAGGGTCACGAGCGTTCCTTTCTGCTGGTTGTTGACGACTACTCACGTTACACCACAGTCTTCCCCTTGCGCCGCAAGGGTGAGGTCACTAAGGTGCTGATCGACTGGATCCGCGCTGCACGTCGCCAGCTCGGCGAGAGTTTCGGCTCGGACCTTCCTGTTCTGCGTCTGCACTCTCACAGATGTGGAGAGTTTTCCTCCGACCTTCTGCAAACCTTCTGTCGTGCGGAGGGCATCCGCCAGACGTTCACGCTTCCGGCCTCCCCACAGCACAATGGGATTGCTGAGCGCCTTATTGGTATGGTCACAAACAACGCTCGTATATCCATGATCCATGCGGCTGCCCCCCATTTTCTGTGGCCGTTTGCGGTTCAGTACGCTGTGCATCAGCTCAACCTCCAGCCCCGTGTCTCCGTTCCGGAGACCACACCTACTTTGCGGTGGACGGGGAAGGTTGGCGATGCGTCTGTGTTCCGTGTCTGGGGATCTCGAGCTTTTGTCCGCAATTCTTCCGCGAACAAGCTGTCCTCCCGTGCTGTTCCCTGCATCTTCCTTGGCTTCCCCCCTGACGTGCCTAGTTGGCAGTTTTACCACCCCACCTCACCCCGTGTTCTGTCCTCTCTGGACGTCACGTTTGACGAGTCGGTTCCCTTCAACCGTCTCTTCCCCTACCGCACTGCCCCTCTCCCCCCCCCCGCCGCTCTTCCTAGCACTAGGTCCTCCTCCGGTAGACCCCCTCCCCCCTCAGGGTCCTGCCCTCTCACGTGTCTCCCAGGTAGACCCAGTTGAGCCTGTCGAGGTAGCTGTCGACTCTGGTACTGCTAGGGGTGCTGAGCCTGCGGGTGCGGGGCCTGGGGGTGCTAAGCCTGCGGGTGCGGGACCTGGGGGTGCTGAGCGTGAGCGTGCAGAGCCTGGGGGTGCTGAGCCTAGGGTTGATGAGTCTGAGGGTGCGGAGCCTGGGGGTGCTGAGCCTGAGAGTGTGGAGCCCGGGGGTGCTGAGCCTGTGAGTGTGGAGCCTGAGCGTGCTGAGCCTGGAGGTACTTTGTCCTCTAGAGGTCATTCGGGTGTCTTGTCCCGGCGGGAGCCGCTCTCTCCACCGCAGCTGCGCAAGTGGTTTGCCCGGCGCTGGAGCCGTGCTGCTGGAGCTGGTCCTGCTGGAGGTGCTGCTGGAGCTGTTCCTGCTGGAGGTGCTGCTGGCGCTGGAGCTGGTTCCGCTGGAGGTGTTGCTGGAGCTGTTCCTGCTGGAGGTGCTGCTGGTGCTGGAGCTAGTGGTGCTGCAGGAGTTGGAGCTGGGGGTGCTGGAGCTCGTCCTGCTGGAGGTGCTGCTGGTGCTGGAGCTAGTGGTGCTGCACGAGTTGGAGTTGGGGGTGCTGGAGCCGTCTCTGTTGGTTCTGGTGGTGTTGCATGGCCACGGCCATACTTAGTTCCACTCCTTCAGCAGGTTCTTGGTCTCCTGCCTTCTACTTGTCCTACTCCTCCCCTAGAGTGTCCACCGCCTGTCCAGTCGCAGTCGCAGCTACCGCCGGCCTCCCCGCTACCTGGTCATTCTCCTTACACTAGACCGACCGGAGGTCTTGCTGAGCGTTGTGAGCCCGCGTCTCGCCCTGCGTTGCCTGTTCACGCTGCTTGCACTAGTCATCGTATTCCGCGTCCGCGTCCTTTTCCTGTCCCCGGCACGCACCTGATAACACTCCGTCCTTCCTCTATTCCACTGCGTGTCCCTCTGTCGTCTCCTCCTGCGTCCTCCCTTGCTGACAGTCCGGACCCGGAGTCTGACTCCCTTCGTGCTGCTAGTCCTACTGTCACGCGTCTCCTGGCCACTGTTGTCACTTACCCTTCGTTTGATTCCACTGCTGCGTCTGCCTTAGTTGCTGAGCTTATCGACTTTGCTGCTCGCTGTCATCTAGACTACGTCGCTAGTCTTGTTGCTGAGTCTGAGTGTGTCAGTCCTCCGTCCGTTGGGGGTGAGTGTGCTCTTGGCACGGACATCATTGAGGACAGGGAGGAGGACCTTGATTGCTTTGCGGCTGCTGTACCTCATCTCGTGTCCATGCTGATTGCACCTGAGGGAGACGCGGATGCACCAGACATTCCGACCCCACGCTCTTACGCAGAGGCAATAGAGGGTCCCTACTCCTCTTAGTGGCAGTCAGCCATGGACGTAGAGATGGCATCCTGGAAGTCCACAGGCACCTACGTCGACGAGGTTCCCCCTCCTGGGGCGAACATCGTCAGTAACATGTGGATTTTCAAAGTGAAGCGGCCGTCGGGTTCTCCGCCTGTCTTCAAGGCGCGTTATGTTGCACGAGGCTTCGGTCAGCAACAGGGAGTTGACTTCTTCCAGACCTTCTTCCAGACTCTTTGGGTTCTACGAGCTTAACTCTCTTGACTTCAGCACAGCTTTTGTACAGGGCAGCCTGCACGAGGAGATCTGGCTACGCTGCCCACCTGGCTTCTCTGGGTCGTTTCCTCCACGTACCCAGTGGAGCCTCCAGCGGCCAGTCTACGGTCTCCGCAGGCGCCTCGCGAGTGGCACGACACACTGAGGACGACTCTTGTGGCTCTTGGGTTTGCTCCTTCTACTGCTGACCCGTCGCTGTTTCTACGCACCGACGCTTCGCTGCCGCCGTTCTACATCCTCGTGTACGTCGACGACTTGGTCTTTGCTACTGCTAGCACTAAGGCACTGACCCTAGTGAAGTCGGAGCTGCAGAAGAGACACACGTGCACAGACCTGGGTGAGCTGCGCAGCTATCTTGGCTTGCAGATCACCCGGGACACAGCACGCCGCACCATCACCCTGACTCAACATGGTGCAGCAGGTCCTTCATTGCTTCGACTTCCAGTACTCCTCGCCACAGTCCACTCCTCTGCCTACCGGTCATTCGCTCTCAGCTCTGCCTTCGGATGAGTCCGTAGAGCCGAGTGGCCCGTATCTAGAGCTTGTGGTCTGCCTCGTGTACCTGATGACCTGCACTAGACCTGACCTTGCTTACCCTCTTAGCATCCTGGCGCGCTACGTTGCGCCCGGGAGATACCGACCAGAGCACATGGCTGCAGCGAAGAGGGTGATGCGCTACTTGTGCAGTACGTCGGGCTTGAGGCTCGTGCTTTTGAGGATGAGGTCTAGTTGTCCTCACTGGTCACGCAGACGCTTCTTGGGTTGACGACTTGGCTACGGAGCGGTCGTCACAGGGTTACACCTTCAGCCTTGGCTCCGCCTCTGTTTCCTGGCGGTCTACCCGTTCGTCTTCTGTTCTCAGTTCTAGCTGTGAGGCTGAGATCTACGCAGGGGCCATGGGCTCACTGGAGTTACGCTGGCTCACCTACCTGCTGACCGACGTGGGAGAGCCGCCTCGTTCTCCTCCAGTTCTGTACGTCGACACCAAGGCAATGCTTGCCTTGTGTCGCGAGTGGAGCCTGGAGCACAGAACGAAGCACATTGTTCTTCGCTACTTCCTTGCTCGAGAGTTGCAGCAGCGTGGTCAGCTTTGTCTTGTGTACGTGGCCTCTTAGGCCAACACTGCTGATATCTTCAGCAAGGCACTTCAGCCTTGTGATCATCAGCGGTTCTGTACTGTTCTAGGCCTTGTGTTTACTTGGCCTCACTTGCTCACTTCTTGACGTTGCTTGTACTGTAATCTATATATACAGACCTGCATGCTCACATTTGCTAGGTTGTGATCACTGTCCTGTTTGTTCTCCTTTATATATATAACTCTGCATGTGGACTGGCCTTGTGCCCATTTGCTTGTGCTTAGAATACGTGGTGACGTTGTGATCCACCCTGGGCTTGACCTTGTCTAGTTCTCTTGCTTGTCCCCCACTTTGCCTTTGGGGGTGTGTCAGAAATTTGCTGTAGGCTGTAGTGGGACACTCCTTATGGGGTACAGCCCAATTAGTTTCTGATATACAAACCCTGTACTGCCTTGTACTGATAGTTCCCGCTGCTCGAACCTGGAACCAACCGCTACCCCAAGCTGCACAAGGTGTACAGCGACTTCCTCGTCGTGGGCCATTGTGGAATCAACGACGAGCTGTACACGCTCGCCTTCGTCGACGCGGGAACACGCTGTGTCTGGATTGTGAAAGTGGAGGCGCGCACCAGAGCGCACGAAGTCTTCCGCCTCTGGCTGGCGCACGCACAGTGCCAATTTGGGTAGAAGCTGAAAAT